GGGTTTGAACCGCCAGCCTTCCGGTTAGCAGTCAAGTGCCTTAGCCACAATGCTACCAGAGCTCCCATACTTACCCGATATTCCAGAAGATATTTATTAGTCAATTTGTCACCTATTCCCCTTTAATCTTGATAAAGAATCTAGCGTGGAGATTTTGTTGTTGTTGTTGTTGTTGTTCCTTTATCATTGTATATGATTTCTGTTTCTTACTACTTAACTATGGTCTTAATTGTTTACTAGGTCAGTTCACTGTTTATTCTTTTCTTCAGCTATCATGTCCAGTACACTGTAGGCACTATATTAAGTTAATTAGGCTAATACATTCTGTCTTTGAACCCTTCTGTCATTGTCTTAGGGTTTCTTTTTTCCTTTAAATGGCCTTTTACAAATCTTCACTAAGTTGCTTCAAAGTTAATACCAGTGTGATTTTGGAATGGATGGTGGTGTTTTCTCTTTCTGACCCACATTTGTGTAAAAAGTTGCTTGATTTCTATTTGACTATTAGTTGTAGCTTTGGAAGAAAACTGAGACACATGAACAGTAATCAACATGTTTGCTATTACTCAAAATCATTTGGAGAAAAAAAAAAGGTGGGGACAAGGTTTGCTGGTCTGATAGAGCCTGGTGGAACCACTGAGACTATGGTCCCTAGCTGCCCTTCAGGTCTGGAATTGAACCCACACCTGTGGTGTCCAGCCAAACAAAATACAGTATATGAGTTGAACATTTACCTCAAGTAGATACACTCCTTGGAGAGAACAATCATGGGAGAAAGAAGTGCTGCTTATGCACAGGGAGACAGCTCAGGGGGCAGTAGTGTATGGAGGGATGGACACTGGGAAGAGGTAACTATGGGGAGGAAGTGGGATGGGAGCTGTTGCATTGTATTAAACTGTGGTCAATACATGAGACAAAGTATGTGTGAACTGCTGTATGTAAAGTGAATTTGCTCTGTAAATCTTCACCCAAATCACAATAATAAAAAAAAAAAACATGTTTGCTATTTACTTAGGTTGAGATTTCACAGTTCTCCGTAATGTCTAAGAACAAGTCAAAAGATTACCCAATTCTAAAAAGAGTTTTAAATTTTCTTAAGAGTGGTACATTATCTGAGACCAGCTTGCCGAGGTATAAAACTTTTATTTTCCAGGTATGATACAGGATTTCATTGGTATTTGAACTACCATTCAACAGCCTTTGTGATTTGCTTTTTAACCCTTTCAAAACCATATTATTCTCGGCTCTTCAAACCATCTGTTGTCAGCAATGAAAGGCAGTTTGAATTAAATGAAAAGAATGTCTTGAGATAATATGAATTTTAATATAATTAATGGGACACATATGTCCTAAGGGGGGCGGTCTCTAGTGCTGGAGTTGGTAGGATGAGGCCTGTTTCTTCAGTTTTCATGGTGTTATCCAGGCCCCACCAGATGACGGCATGCACTAAAAGTGGGATAGTTGTTTCCCACTAAACCCCAGAGGTGGAAAATGTATATGTCCTAAGGTCATGAAAGGATTAATTCAAAAGTGAAGAATTAGAAATTTTGATGCTATTTGTTAGAAAATAATGGCATTTCTGAACTGAAATGTTATTTATTCATATAAATTTACTCACATCTTGGTAAGCTTGTCCTTAATAAGACATGCTAGTTTCTGTCACCTAGCAAGTTGCTTATAAAACTCTTTTTTTTTTTTTCCCTTAAAGTGGCAACCAGATTAGCAAAGAACTAAACATGTGCAAATCTAAGATTTCAGAATCGATCTTCAAAGAACTATCCATTTAAAACTTCTGCTGCTTTTTTTTCCCTGAGACAATAACATTTCAAAATTCTTTTTGTTCAGAAAACAGATTTGTTTCAATTTAACTGATTTGTTTTAATTTAAGGGTTTCTCCTCTTCAAAAATCCGAAGTTGTTGAGATGGTTAAGAAACAAGTACAAGTCATAACCCTTGCGATTGGCGATGGAGCAAATGACGTCAGCATGATACAGACTGCACACGTTGGTGTAGGAATAAGTGGCAATGAAGGTCTCCAGGCAGCTAATTCTTCTGATTACTCCATAGCTCAGGTAAAGCATCATTTCTACAAGACCACCATTGGTTCAGTCATCTGACACCATGAAGAAGAAAATACTAATTTTTCCCACTTTATTTATTTATTTATTTTTAGTTCAAGTATTTGAAGAATTTATTGATGGTCCATGGTGCCTGGAACTATAACAGAGTCTCCAAGTGTATCTTATACTGCTTCTACAAGAATATTGTCCTTTATATCATCGAGGTAATAGCAGGTTCAGTTAAAAATCCTTATCATCTATATACACATATAAACAAATAATGACGTTTTTTCATTGTTTTAAAATACTTGATTTGCCCAGTTTCTTTTTATAATTTCTAAATGTGTTCAGACAAGAAGTTAGTCAGCAGTGAATAACTCATGTTTAAATTCTAGCTAAAAACATTATATTGCTTTGATAAGAAATGTTGGATTAGAATGGCTAATGAAGTATAGCCAGTCCTTGGATTAGAATGAGGTCTGTTCCTAACTGTGTCTTTAAGAATTTGTTGATAAGTCAGAACAGGTACATACAGTTCACATTACTGCAAGAAAAGGCTCAAAGCCTTTTCAGTCATTTATAAGTTGCACATGCAGCAAGTGAAAGTGATTGTGAAGAATTTGTAGTGAATAGGGTTGGTTCAACTATCTCAAAGTGAGGAGAAATTTACATAACATTCGAGGGTAGGTAGAAGTTCTCGTTAAGTCCGACCTTCATAACCCATGGGCTGTCTATAATGTTTTCAGTTTTATAAAGCCTACAAATTCCACAATCTTTTATGCACAAAACTGAAGATAACGATTCTACTTCTGGGCGGAAGTAAGGAAGGGGAATCAAAAATGACCCGGGTGCCTTCACTAGATTGGTCATATTGGTACTTCTTATTTCAAAACTTATATTTATGTTGTATATAAGCACCCCTTGCTATTCAGATCTGTTTTGATTTTATGAGTTTGGTGAGTAGCAAGAGTTCAGATAATGAAAAATACATCTAAAAGTTATCAGAATATTCCATTCCTGTGTATGGATAGCAGGGAATTTCTGTATTCTTTTTCATGTATTAACTATAACAACATTTTTCAAAATGAGAACTTAGGAACATAACTTCTAAAAGGATGCTTTACATTCTACAAACATTTATGAAATACCTTTTGGATGCCAGATACCTGGTCTGGTCCAGGGGCTACAATGTATATCAAGCGTGGTTCCTGTCCTCTGAGAACTTGCCAATAAAAATACAATACAAGCTCCAGTACAACTGACAGTTTTCTGGGAACTACCTTAGCCAAAATGAAAATGTAAAGGTCTAGTTTTATTAAGATAGTTTATTATTCACTCCAGCGTATTCAAAATGTTATCATTACAACATTTAATCAATTTGTATTTTACTCTTACAACACATCTCAATTAGGACTAGTCACATTACAAGTGCTCAAGAGCCACATGTGACCAATGGCTACAGTATTGGACACCAGCAGTTCTGCCACTTGCTGTCCAGTTGATTCCAACTCATGGCCATGAGGTCAGACCAGAATTTGTTCCATAGAGTTTCTAATGGCTTCTTTTCAGAAGTAGATCACCAGGCTTTTATTCCAAGGCTGTATTAGACCAAAAACCTTCTGCTGTTGAGGTAATTCCACCTCCTAGAGTAGAACTGCCCTATATGATTTCCTAGGCTGTAAGTCTTTATGGAAACAGACTGCCTCATCTTTCTCCCACAGAGTGGCTGGTGAGTTTAAATCACGGCCTTTTGGTTAGTAGTTGAGTGAACTAAATGATTAATCAAAAAAACCAAACTCACTGTCATTGAGTTGATTCCAACTCATAGTGACCCCCATTGGGTTTCCAAGGCTGTAAATCTCTATACAAGCAGTTTGCCTCATCTTTCATCCATGGAGTAGCTGATGGGTTCGAACCACCGACTGTTTGCTTAGCAGCCAAATGCCCTAACCTCTACATCACAAGAGTTCCCTAAATGGTTAATCAGTACATGATAAATAAGTCATTTACCTTTTTTTTTCCAAGTGTATGGCTTTTTTTCTTTTTTTTTAATCATCCGAAGCTATATTTGTAATACTTACAGTTTACAGGGGATCAGTTTAATGTTCCTCTTTGAGGTCTGCAGAGCATGACATGAGTTCTCCATAGCTTATTATGAAAACCCTCCATCTTATCCTCCTGTCAGGGGACCCACCCAAGTCCTCATAAATCTGCAGAGGGCTGCCTTACAGATGTTTTTCATGCCACCTTGCCCTCTGATCTGTTGGTTGCCTGTTTCTTAACAACTATAAGAAGAAACACAACCTAATTATTTGCTATATGGAAATAATAGTCCATACTTTACACCAGAGAAAAGTAATCGGTAGATTCCACATACGTGGAACACATGTCAACATGATATTTGGAAACTACTGTATCTTTGGTTCAGCCGTGTTTTATGCCTCTGTTGTAAAGATGCTTATTTCCTTATTAAAATATTAACTGAGCATAGTTCTTATTATGGTCAGGCTAGTAAAACTGAAACTTAGTTTTGAAGTATACAGGCAATTTCATTTATTGGTCACTAAAAATGTAGAATTAGGTGACAGTCCATTAGGTAAAATAAACAAATACTTGGGAACATAAACAGGATAATTCATGAGCTTATTTATTGTTCATCATTGCTAGATTTTGGTAGTCTGGACTAGTCCATGTTTTGAAGCAAAATGCACTTCTGAAATAGCTTGTGAGATTTTAAAAAGCATGTATTTGTGACTCTTTTCTAAAATAGTTACTTCTGATTGCCAATTTCCACTGTATTTCTAACTTTTCTGATTATATTTTCTTCCCACCCAAAAGCATTGACATTCAAAAGAATTTCAATTTATCTATGTAGACTTTTGAAGACACTAGGAGTTTAAAGTCACTGCCAACAATAAATCTGCTTGCAAAAATTCAATTTTGTAAAATGAAATAAGAATTTTGAACTTGTCGCATTTTAAATCTAGATTATTTGACAGTCAGCAATGAAGTAGGCATAATTTAAGTACTAATGGAAATAAAATATATGTGAACTCAAATGAAAAACTATGTCTGTGCTCTCACTCAAACCCAGAATTATGTGATTTGTGGTTGATTAGCCTTAAATCTTACTTGGCTTCAAATTTAAAGCCTCTTCATGAGATATTTAACACCGATCAAATTCTTTACACTTTAAAAAGGAAGTTCTAAACTTTACTGGAAATCTCATTTTTAAGTTATTTTTCTTTTAGCACTTTATGGAAATGTATTTTGAATATAATTCAACCTTCTTGGAAACGAATTGACCTTTTAAATCAATTCCCAGATACCCAAGTTTTGCCAGCTAAAACAAGTTCTGCAGATGTTAATGGCTCATGTCAATACTGTGAATGAATAGACAGAAAACACATCATTGAATGTCTCTAGTGAGGACAACTGCCAGTCTCGAATCTCTCCTTTCAGTTTTTTGTGCTGATCAGGCGTGGGAGCAAAGGATTCATTGACTATTTGTAAGCTGCTGTTTAATATGCAGAAATGCTCCATCAGGAAAAAAGTCTGTGAAGCTTTAGCTGCCACGCCTCTGCCGGGACGTGGGACGTAGGAAATAATACCAGGAGAGACAGGTCTGAGGTTTCTTTACTAATAAAGGAACAGTTTTGAACACTATGGGGTTTGTAAATTATCTGCGGAAACGGCTTTTCCCATTGCTGTGTAGCCAGAAGTGTTACCAAGCAGCTCTGCTGCTGTAAAATAAAGCTACACAAATAAATACAGATCCAACAGTGGTGGAATACACTACTTACTGATGGGGGTCACCCAGGAGCATCTCTTGGTGGTCATGTAAATTACTGGCTCTTTTGAAAGAGATTTGTTTTTGTTTTTGTTTTTGTTTTTTAATTTCTCTGAAATGACTGATTCCTTCCTAGCAAAATAAGATGTTTTCTTTCCAGTGAATTTGTTGGAGATCCAAAAACAATGCAGTGTCTCTCATGTTCAGAGGCTTTGTCAGTAAGGTGTTGCTTTTCCAGCAAGTTGTACTGGAAGATAGATTCCCTATAAAGTTATGTCATAATGTACCTTCCTCTCCAAGGGGATTGATGTTTTCTTTCTGTATCCATGGTTTTGGTTGAGTCAAACTGGGAGGTTTTAACAAGATATCTCTGTCTAACCTGAAATCAGCCTCTATTAGGCAACTTCATTGTTAAAAAACCTTCTCTTTCTCTTTTAAAACGTGTAAACTTGAATTTTAAAATACTTGTGTATGAAGGTAGAGGATACTGTATTGAGATTCGGTTCTGATCTAGGTCTGTCTTTGCCTTTTAATTTTTTCCTTCTTTTATTAATTTTTTTAAATAAAATGTATTAACTTTTAAAAATATTGGAAGAGTGTTTCAAAAACATGTTCACATACTTCTAGTAGGAAAAAGGTTAAAAATGTGCTGAAAGTTATGTAAAAATTTCATTTCTGCAATAAAGCACTTAATTTATGCATTTTAAAATAAACTTTGAGCTTAGATATGTTAGTTTACTTGGAAATTATTTTTAATTTGAAACTCACTTTCTAAAGTAATTGATTTGAAGAAAAAATTTATTTGAAAGGAACATCTTAAATTTCAAGCCTTTGAATGAACATGCAATGCTATGTGCAAGGCAGCTAGGGGACCATTCACATTTACAAACGTTTACCCCCACACAAATTTATTAACATAAACATAGTATATAGTATGGCAGATGCATTATAGTTATAACCTTTGAGCCAAATCCTGTCCAATAAGTGCATCTGGTATGCATAGAGCCTTGGCTTTCCCCAGACCAATGAAAATCGGACCACATTGTCATAGATTAAAGAGGCTGTCATTGAAAGTTTGTGTTTAAAACTTCCTTATATTTCCATCATGCCCTAAGAAATCTGAAGGAACTTCTTAGTATGTACTACAATAGATCACAGCCGCCTTGAAGGGGAACATTACCATCACCCAGAGTATCACAAATATGTATTTACATAATCCACATCTCAAAAAGGCCAAATGTGAACACACAGAGCGTTAGAGACTGACATGTCAACTTGTGTATACTTATGTTTGAAAACAGTTTAAAGTCAGCCGCACCACCGTAAGGAATAAACTTCCTGAACATGGTAAGTCCTTTAAAGTTTGCACACACAAATGATCCTTACTCATTTAGGACAAACGTTCTAAAATTTTCTGTAAATAGATGTAACAAAGTACGAAAGAATTGCCGATTTCACTCTGGATGTCTCTGCTTTTGTTATTTTTGTTCTTGATGTCCATGACAAACCTAACACAATTTGAACTTATTTTTCATATGCTATTGCTACTTTGTTTTCTTTTCCATGTCATGAAGCAGACACTCGTTTTTATACATGCTCAGTCATTCCCTTGCACTACAAAAAGGAAGACCAGTGTAGGTACAGAAACTGTTCATAGGGGCCCAGCCTGGGTACATATTGATAAATGGGGAATTTGTAGCAATTCATGCTTCTGTAATGAGGTGAAATGAAACGTGAACTGCAGCAAAATCCCTGCAATTCCCATTCAAAATTCATTTGACCGGCATGTCAAGACTGCTTTCGTTTAACAGATTTTTATGCTTTGTTTTTGCGTTTGTGTTTATGTAATCCCATTGCTGGGCCGGCCTTTTTACTCTTTCAGATTAGTTTGTTTTTTAATTATAATTTAGGTCTGTTTATCTTTTTTAAAATAATGTAGGTGCTATTGATTTATTGACATTTATTTTAATTTTCTGTTTTGTTTAAACATGTTGGAAAAAAAAAGTCTGTGTTTATTGTCATATCCAAAATTAAGCCTTTTAAGAGAATTGCAAATGTATATGAGTAGTTAAAGATTTGTTTTTATCAAGCATAAAATTTAGTTTTAAATATAAATTCTTGTGGGTTTTTTCCCCCTCAAATGTAACACTCTGGTGACAACAGTTATCAAGAATTATAAAAAGGCTCATCTAGTTTGACCTATTAATTCTAGTCTGAAGAATCCATCCTAAGAAAATAGAGATGTGTTAGGATTTTGGCACCAGAGTTTTCAGTTAGAATTATTTATAATAGCAAAAACTGGAAGCAAGGAAAAATTGCCCAAAAATAATTACATCCATAATGTAGTGGTTATACATCTGTTAACATCATTGTAAAGAATATGTAACAACTTAAGAAAATGCATGTTCTATACTGCTAAGGAGAGCAGAGCAGGCTCTGATCCTATGTACAGTCAGTTTCCAGTAAGGTAAATTTGTGACTGTATGTAAATGAATTCTATGAATACAACCAATGCAGAGAAAAATAGTAATTGTATTACTGTTTACCAGAAATTATTTTATTTTCTGCATTTTCTAAATAAGTAAGTTACTAATTTTATAATAAAAAATAATTACATCCTAATAGATATTTTAAAAGTGAATTAAAGCTCTAAAAACTTAACAGCCTTTTGGAAACAAAGTTACATTTACTTTTTTCAATCTGCCATTGCCTGTTCATATAGTTCTTTCTTTGATTCAAGAAGTGGAATAAATTCTGACTCAGAGAACAAAATACTTGTGAAAGCGTCCTTTGAATTAAAAGGTAAAGAAGTGCAATTTTCAATAGAGTTGTAAAAATAATATGTTAATACTGCTGTTAGGTGATGTTTGACTATACAACAGATTCTAAGTAATGCATTTATATTTTTATGTTCTGATTTTGGGGGTTTGGGATTGTTTTCTTCCTAGATCTGGTTCGCGTTTGTTAACGGCTTTTCTGGACAGATCCTCTTTGAAAGATGGTGTATAGGTCTTTATAATGTGGTAAGTTGAGAGCTTTTGATTATTCCTGCTTTGTTGAATACTTTAGATTAAAGTTGACACTGTGTTTGGTTGCTTGGCATAATGACCATTTGTGCACTTTAGATGTTTACAGCAATGCCTCCCTTAACTCTTGGAATATTTGAGAGATCATGCAGAAAAGAGAATATGTTGAAGTACCCTGAATTATACAAAACGTCTCAGAATGCGCTGGACTTCAACACCAAGGTAAGACACAGCACCCGAAGGCGCATTCCGTGGGGCTCTCTTTCTAATTACTGTGGGTGACTGGTCTTCTAAAACCAAGGCAACTCTAACCTGAAGTAACTCCAGGTTGCCAGCTATGGAAAGTCATGTGCTTCAATTCTAAGATGGGCTGAGAAGTTTGTCTTATTTTGTTATGAAATTAAAATGTAACCACAACGCATTGGGGTTTGCTGCGCAGCAGGGGAGTTGGGTCTGGTAGAAAGAAGTGATCGTCCTTTTGGTCCTCGGACTGTCTTTGCCGTGTCATTAGGAAACTCTCCACAGGGGTCAGTAATCCAGGACTGACAAGGGCTGTCTTTACATTTGGTGAGGGGTGTTTTATCATTCTTTATTAATTTTCTGCTTTGTGAAGTAACATTTTCCTCATTAGAAATTTGGATTGTTTGTGATGGGCATTAAAATCATAATCTCTGGGAAGCTGCTTACGTAGTCACAGTACTCAGTAGTTCTGAGCCCTAAAACTAAAAATACAAGTTAAAACATCCAACATTTTATCAAAAGTCATGTTCTGAATTTGTATCCCTACGTAATGAGCCATGGACAATTGTCATCTCTTGTGATTTATGGTATTTATTCATCTCAGCAGCAAAAATATCTCAATTTTGTGTATAGTTCACTTTAAAAACCATTTACACTGGTATTTTAATAATACAGATTTCTGTTTAGTTTGAAGGCAAAAAAAAAAAAAAAACTAATTTAAAACAAACTGAGGTAGATGCCATTTTGAAACTATAACATTTATGCTTGATGTTATTAGTATTATAAAAGTAACACATACACCTTCACAGAACTTTTCCCATTTAATACATTGTACATTTATGTTATCATTACTTAGATATAGCCTAAATTCAGTGTTTTGAATGTAGTTAAGATATGTTTAATATTTATTAACTTACAAAGTTATCCAATTACATGCATTCTCATTATATCAAGAGAATAAAGTGAAATAAATGTTTTGATGTTGTTAGTAATAGTGCTACATGTATAGGCAAGAGATTATTCATCTTCCGAGTCTAGATCTTCATGAATGTGTATGGATACATGTGTCCACACAATTTGACAGCATTATTTTAAATAACTGAATGAGTAATTAAAAAAAAAAACTTAAAATTTCTTTGATTTATACTATTAGATCTGAAAAGTATTTTTGTAACAGCCTTTTTTAATATACTATCAATAATACTAAATCTATGCTTTTACATTTGCATTTTTTATTTTTGGATTTATTTCTGATGCCCAGTTTATATTAAATTTCACCACATTGCTATAATATTTTTCATAACCTGCGATGGGAATTTTCAAATGATGGAAAGCCACATTTGGGGCAGATACACTAGACTATGAGCTTTTGTTTCCCTGAAGAAATAATCTGGGAATTAGTAAAGTCCTGGGCCTACTGGTCTACTAATGGTACCTAGTAGGTAAGATATTTGGCTGCTTACCAGGCCAGTGGTTCAAGCCCACCAGCTGCTCTGCAGGAGGAAGATGAGGCTATCTACTTCCCTATAGATTTACAGCCTTGGAAACCCAGTAGGGGTCGCTATGAGTTGGAATCAACTCAGTGGCAGTGGGTTTGTTGTGGTTTGGGCTTTGGACAGTTAGATCAACTCAGCCACAGTCATCATCCCATGTAACTCGGTCTTCACAATGCTATCTTGGGAGTTTACCTTCTGAGCGACAAACTTGGCCATATTACTCTTGCTTAAAAACCTAAACTGATCCTCCCAGGATTACCCAAAGCCATCCATGAAAAGCCGCATCTTTTCGTTGTGCTCTTACGTCTTTACTCATAGCAACTTAGACATAGTTTTGTGGCTAAGAAAAGGATGTAGCCGGTAGTATAGTTTTAATGTAAGCTCATTCCCTGTACCCTTACTGTTCTTTTTTTTTTTTTTTTTTAATTCAAAAATTATTTCCTTATATGTAGAGTCCGTGCATTTAGAAAAGTCACCAGGTCAACCACAATAGGTCATGTAGTTCTCATATCTATTTGGATATTTATCACATTCGTGTTTTATTTATACAAGTTGCCAACTAGTTTTTATGGGGTTTATGGATTTTTCTAATGATTTCAATGAAAATTCTTTGATCAAATCCCATGTAAATGTTTTAAAATTCAGGGACAAGTGCCTACAATGTATAGTTGTATACACAGCAGTTGCTGTGGGTTTAGAGTATGGGAGCATTGTTGCCTGAATGATGATGCTTACATTTGTTATGGTAAAAAGGGTCAGAGGTGCTGAGGGCATGACAGGGGTTAAAGGATTAGCATGTGACAATAAGTTCGGTCAGGAAAATGGAAAAGTAGAACTAATTTTTCTTGCACCCACCTGTGCTTTCTGTCAAATAAAAATGTGTGGTAATGACATAGTGAGGAGAAGAGACAAAGGTTAATGAGTAACACAAGTTCAAATGTGTAATGTATTGGAGCGTAAATTGGATCATACAATGCAATGTGCCTGAGTGAGCTAACAAAGGAGATTGAGATCACAGTGGAAAATTTTGGGAGGCAGGGAACTTAATTTCTGTTGTTTGAACAGCTTAAAACTATTAATACATGCCAATTTTATTTAGCATAAGTTTTATTTGCAAGAAGCACTTTTAAATGACAAAACTACAACTGTTGAGAGGGAGATAAGAATTTTAAACAGTTTTTCTATAACTTAATCTTTCACATCCACATTACAAAGGAAGTACCAGATACTTGTTCTCTTGTTCTTAAAATACCATTGGTATGAAAAAGTAATAACTACTAAATGATGTTATAATTATATGAAACTTGGTATTGACAGATGATAAATATGTGAAAGTCTTTTTATAAATACAGTCACAATCACCGTGCTTTGTTTTAAGGAACTACATAATTTAAATGTTACACATCATATTTTATTATATAATATATGTATATGTATGTGGAGAGGGTTGGGGAGAGATAAAGCATTCTGTTCTAAACATTGAGAAGTTTTACTTTGATGGCACATGGGAAAGAGAAAATAGAGGTTTCCCCGATTACGGTCTTCTCAGCAGTCTATTCTAGCATTTTGAAAGTAGCCCACTTAAGGAATTTAACATTGTGTATGTATTTAAAATTTTCTTTTCTTTTTCATGCAAAAATTTAAATTTTCGATGCTTGGCTTTTAGAAACTAGGAAAAAAACTTAAAGGGAAGCTGAGAAAACATTTTGAGAAACATAAAAATAAATAAATGACCCATGAAGGTCTAAGAGGCAGAAAGTGCCTGTCAGTTCTCTTAATTCACAGTGGTGGCCCGACAGAAACACATTTTGTGAATCTAACTCACAGATAAAAAGAAAGGTCAGAGTTCATGGAGCTAGTTTATCGCAAACGGTTCTCATGGATTTTTGTTTTCCCTCAGGTTTTCTGGGTTCATTGTTTAAATGGCCTCTTCCACTCAGTTATTCTGTTTTGGTTTCCACTAAAAGCCCTTCAGTATGGTAAGTAGAAAGGATATGAATGCTAAGAGATGACTTTTTGCTTTTTTAGAAAAATAACTCATTGTCAATATATGTTAAAATGTATAGCAGTGCTTTTGTTTTATGGTATTTTCCTTAAGCTAAAATGCATGCATCCCAAAGTTGTACACACTTTAAAGAGTTTTATTATTCCTTTGGGAGCTAAGTGATTTAATATATGCAAAGCTTTTCTTCTTTACTTCTCATGTTTTCCAAACTGGCAGAGAATTAATTTTAGGGCTCTTTTCCTCTGTTGATGTATAGTTTGAAGACAATAAGTGCTAATATTTTATGTAGTCTATTTATTATACCTATGAGACTTGCATCAAGCTCTTTATCTGGAACCTAATCAGACATGCTAGTATTTCCAAGTATTGTTGAGCTGATGTTTGAATAGGATTTTAATGCTTTTATATTGATGTTGGAGCATAAGCGTTTTCTCTGCTCATTTTGAGGGAGTGATTTGATTCTGTCAGTTTTGAGAGATAGGATCATGGTGTATTTCCTATATACATAAAAATGATTAAGTAGCCACTTTAGAACTGAGATCCCTGTGATGTTCAAGCGGGTGCTGCTGTGTCCTGGGGCAGACCTAGCTTAGAAATCATGGGGACGACAGGCAAACCATTCAGTCTCTGCTCCAAAATGACAATAATTAAAAACACTCCACATGCTCCACCCAAGGATGTGTCAATCCTTTATAAGTACAGGCCGTTTCTCACTGTCTCTGAGTTACTGACTGCAAGTGAAGAGAATGCTGTGAGCTATTGCCCATCTAGGAACTCTGGTAACGTAGTACCTAAGGCACTTGACTGCTAACCAGAAGGCTGGTGGTTTAAACCCACCAGCCACTCCTCGGAAGGAAGGTTGGGCAGTCTACTTCCGTAGTGATACTGCCTCAGAAACCCAAGGAGGGGTCCCTATGAGTCGGGTCCAACTCGATGGTACATAATAACAACAACGGCATTGCCCACCTACAATCTGTTTCCTACAGGCAGCCAGAGTGATACTGGTAAATTAGACCAGGTGCCTCCCTCCTCACAAACCCACAAAGATGTCTTCTGCATTTAGAACAAAATCTACAGCCCTGATCCTGGCTCAGAAGCTCTGGTGTTGTAGTGCCTAAGTTATTTGACTGCTGACCAGAAGGCTGGTGGTTCAAATCCACCTGCCACTCCTCTGAAGGAAGATTGGGCAATCTCCTTCTGTAGAGATACCGCCTCGGAAACCCAAGGAGGGGTCGCCCTGAGTCGAGTCGACTCGACAGCAGTGAGTTCGGTCTTTTTTTGGACCCTGGCTCATTCCTGGACCTGATTTTCTTTTGTGTTTCCCCGTCATAATGCTCCAGTGCTGATGTCCTTGTTACCCCCTGATTCTTCGCTCAGATACAGACACACCTTGGAGATAATGCTGGTTTATTTCCAGACCACCACAGTAAAGTGTCTATCACAGTGAAAAGAGTCACACACATTTTTTGGTTTCCCGGTGCCTATAAAAGTTATGTTTATACCACACTGTAGTCTATTAAGTGTGCAATGTTGTTGTTGTTATGTGCCATCAAGTCGGACCCAACTCATAGCTACCCCTCCGTGGGTTTCTGAGGCAGTATCACTATGGAAGTAGATTGCCCCATCTTCCTTCTGAGGAGTGGCTGAAGTGTTTGAACCGCCAGCCTTCTGGTTAACAGTCAAGTGCCTTAGCCACTATGCTACCAGAGCTCCCAAGAGTGCAATAGTATTATGAAAAAATGAAATATTGTGAGAATTACCAAATTATGACACAGAGACACAAAATGAGCACATTCTGTTAGAAAAATGGTGCCAGTAGACTTGCTTGACACAACATTACCACAGACCATCAGTTCGTTAAAAAGTCAACATCTGCAAAGTTCACTAAAGTGAAGCACAATAAAATGAGGTATGCCTGTACTCAGAAGGTTCCTTCCCTCACTTCTCTCAGGTCTCTGCTCAGGGGGGCTGCCCCAAATCACCTTGTTTCTCCCCCACTATCCCCTTTCTTCCCTTTGCCATTCTGTATTTTCTTCATAGTTTTTGTCTAATAGGTTATGATATATTTGTTTATTTTCTGTTGTCTTTTTCCTCTGTTAGACTCGAAGCTCATGGAGGGCAGGGACTTGTCAGGTTAGTTCACTGTTGTATTTGCAGTGCTTGGAACAGTGCCTAGCTCATCCTAGGCACTCTGCAAATTAGCAATAAATGAATGAGAACAGGAGACTTGAATGAGGTGAGTGAGTATTATAGAGAAGGCAGTGGTTTCATGTCCTAGACAGGGACTTTAACCTCATATCTTTATTAATTGTTCTACCAGTGCAACAGTAAATGCATCTCAACTTCTAATCCATAGAAATGACTATGATAAGAAAATCTAATTCAGGTATAGAATATCGACTCTGGAGAACAACAACAGAATTTTTTTTTTTTTTTTTGAGATATAATTCACATACCATAAAGTTCATCCTTTTAAAGTGTACAATTCAGTGGTTTTAGTATTTCCACAGCATTATACAACAGCCACCACAGTCTAATAACAGAACATTTTCATTACCTTAGAAAGAAGTCCTGTACTCATTAGCAGTCATTTCCAATTCCTGGCAACCACTGATTTTCTGTCTCTATTGTTTTGCGTTGATATTGTTGAACCATACAGCAGTGTGACCATTTCCTTCTGGTCTTTTTCACTTTGCATAATGTTTTCAAGATTCATCGATGTTGCAGCGTGAATCAGTACTTCATTCCTTTTTATGACTGAATGATATTCTGTGTTATGGAGAGACCATATTTTGTTCATCTGTTCATCAGTTGACACACATTCCAATTGTTTTCACTTTTAGAATAATGGGCTATTGAAATCCAGGGTACAATTAAGGACACTCTGACCTTACAGATGTTCTCTAGAAGTTTATTTTCAAGATGCAAAATCAGTATAGGTGTGAAAGATGAGGCATGCCCATGTATTCAACTGCTATTTCAGCATTCTGAATTAGAAAAAAGAGAAGCTCTGGTGGCACAGTGGTTAAGACGTTTGGCTGATGGCCAGAAAGAAGGTTGGCAGTTCAAATCCACCAGCCACTCTACGAGAGAAAGATGAGGTAGTCTGCGTCCATAAAGATTTACAGCCTTGGAAACCCTATAGTGCAATTCTTCTCTATCCTATAGGGTTGCTATGAGTCTGAAACAACTCAATGGCAGTGAGTGGGAAATTAGAAAAAAGAAATTTAATATCCAAAGTAGCTCAAGTTAAATAGCATCTAAAATACCTTAGTAGTGACAGGATTTTAAAGGAATTCCAAGTAACAAGTAACTTCAGCATCTGGAGAATAGATCCTGGGTCTCCCTTTGCCTTTGTCTGCTCATCCAGGTTCAGCAGAGGCAAATCGGGTCAAATGCAAGGAACACTGGATTTCTTTTCTTAAGGCATGAATGATACCTTAAATAAAGTTTGTTTTACCATTCTGATGTTGAGGGTTTTGGAGTTGTTTGTTTTGCGTTGTATTTTATTCTTAAATAAGGACTAATGTTTTACTAGCATTTGGAAGGATGTTGTTGTTGTTTGCCGTCGAGTCGGCCCTGACTCATAGCGACCCCTCCTTGGGTTTCCGAGGCAGTATCACTACGGAAGTAGGATTGCCCAACCTTCCTTCCGAGGAGTGGCTGGTGGGTTTGAACTGCCAGCCTTCTGGTGAGCAGTCAAGTGTCTTAGGCACTATGCTACCAGAGCGCAGAAAACTAGAGGTGATATATAATATAAAGCTAAATATTCAGTTATTCACTTGTATCAACAGTTCTCCAAGTTTCATCTACAGATCTTCTAGGAATACTGACGATTTTGGGTAGTCCATGAAGTCAAAATGTTATTGTTTCAAAATTTGTATATTACCAAGACTTCATTTGTCTTTTTCACTGATAATGCAAATGCAGTGATAGATAAGTCTGCTGATGCCTTAGCACAAACAGTGGCGCCACTGTGGTAGTAGACATTGTATTCTTTACCACTAAGCACTCACACTGAAAAAAAAAAAAAAAAAAAAAGCCAGTTTCACTTGAGAATATCTTTGATGAAGCAATAAAAAGTAATACGTTTTTATTATGTCTTGAGTCTTGGTACCAAACTCATTGCTATCAAGTTGGCTCTGGCTCATGGCAACCCCGTGTATTTCTGAGTAGAACTGGGCTCCAGTGGGTTTCCTGGCTTTGACCTTTCAGAAGCAGATTGCCAGGCTTTCTTCTGAGGAGCCTCTGGGTAGACTCTAACCTCCAGCCTTTCAGTTCATGGCCAAGTGCTTAACTGTACCACCCAAGGACTGACCTTTAGTACATATGTTATTGATACTGTGTGTGATGAAATGGGAAGTGTGCCTGGTCCTGAGAAGTGTGATGAGCAGCACCTTGTGGATTGCTGGAGTTGGGAACTGAACCAGCTGCTTTGTGCACAGAGGAGCATTTTCACCTAAAGGAATGACTGACAGTCAAACTGGATTGTTCAGACTTGGGAAGTTGGCAGACATTTCCTCAAAATTGAATGAAGTGAGCCTGTTACTTCAAGGAAAAGTGCTTGCAATACTTGTTACCAATAGTAAGATTCAAACTTTGAAGTAAAAACCTGAATTTCAGGAAACTTGTATCCACCACCATGATTTTCACAATTTCCCACTACCTAAAGATTTTGCTGGCAAGATCAGGGGGTGATATTAACTAGTATAATATGTTTATAAAAGTATTGACATATGGAACATTGGCATAACTTGGTGAACTAATACTTTTCAAATGACTGTAGGTCAAAGATCCATTCAGACTTCAAGATAGACCAATGGATTTTAATGTAATAGAGTACAAAACATGCAGTGATATAATTTCACATTCCAGACTGAAAATAAGCTTAAAAAAAAAAAAAAAGCTGCTAATTGTTGAGTTTTGGTGTAATATCAAAGAATATCCACATTTGGAAAAGATGATTAAAATACT